GATCTAGTGCCATGGGAAAAGCAATTGAAGTAACAGTGATATTAGTATAATTTCAAATTCTGAGTGTATGTTTCATGGTCAAGGAATCTGATAATGTATATAAAATTAAGGGGCGAATTTGCGGCTTGGCGAGGGTATGCGCTTTCCGGGGGCTTCCTAGCGAGTTCGCCACGGATGCGACGGGCAAGTTGGATATCTTTGGGCATGATGATTACACATTTGGCGTGAATGGCACACGGGTTGGTGTCTTCGAAAAGAACCACTAGAAATGCCCCCCTGGCTTCTTCTGGGGCCACCACGGCGGAGCTCTGGAATCGAAGGTCGGTCTTGAATTCTTGCGCAATTTCTCGAACCAGACGTTGGAATGGCAGCTTTCGGATCAGGAGCTCTGTACTTTTCTGGTAACGGCGGATCTCACGAAGAGCGACGGTGCCAGGTCTGTAACGATGTGGTTTCTTCACTCCGCCAGTAGCAGGTGCGCTCTTTCGAGCAGCCTTTGTTGCCAATTGTTTTCGTCGTTGATTTTTTAATTTGTAACCAAAATATCACGTACTGAACCTAAACTATCGTGTTACCGTCGCTTTAATGATTACTATACGTTTAACCGCCGTGATGCCATTCAGTGAGCGGACATAGATGGTGACTAGCCTGCCCCCGGTAGGTGTAATGCAGTCACGAATTAGAAAAATACGATTTTGTGTTGAATAGAGGAAAAATTCGAATCACCATTACTTATTTAGTTCACACCACCCATCATGTAATACCCTTACATGAGTTCGCACTACTACCGAAATACACTGATATGCAATATTACACATACGTCTACGGAAATTGTTGACATTTCGACACGACTTAATGCTACGTGGTTTGTAAATACAAGGCAATTTAGGCGATGGAAAATAAAATAAATGGTACCCTTTAGAGAGATGAAAAGCATACACGATTCCAAAGAATGGATTTTATTTCATTTCATAAAGTACGATCATACAGACAATTCTATAAATAGGTAAAATGCTTCAAGTAAGTATTATCGGTTTCGTCCAAACAGAAAGAAATAGTCGCAGTGAAAGTTATTCTACCATGAAAGGAACAATGATGATTTGAAACAACCAACAAGTATTTTACAGTGCGTTATGTTCGGTTGCATTTTTTGAAAATATTTGCCCCACTAAACTAGTTGTTAGAACAAGAAAATCGAGAATATATAATGTTTAAATTGACAAAAGATTTAGCATTAAACATCCCGCTACACGTTGTTTCTGTGTCAATATATAAGTAATATCCCTAGTAGTTAATTGATAGTCACATACAATTACATCTAATCTTGTTGAGCTAAACATTACTAATAGAACTGAATCCAAACTATCGACATAAAATATAACGTTAAGTTTGTCGTCAGGCATAGTCTCTCCAAATGATGATACCTCAAACAACTTTTGATAGAGGTTTGTAATCAGAACCTGGAACTTTCACTAAAATAAAATATATTTTATTAGGGTGTATTGTAGTAAATATTAAAGCAATATTAGTAATATGCTTTGGTAAAGTGCCCAAGTTATATAATATTTTGCACTAGAAAAATCTAATCATCATTCAAGGCTACTGACCCACGTGACTTACAATATACAATAATATTAAAAAGCACAAGAGAACGTGTAGCATAACATAATTTGTAGCGGTAACATTTTAAGTAAATATATAAAACTCGTGCATTGAATTTCAGAAAGTAATATTAAAATATTTGCACAAATCTCAATTATGCTCGATTTGAAAACACATTTCTCAAGGTTTCTTAATACTAATACGGTATTACAGTGATTCAAAATTGTTATAGGATTAAACAATGATATCTAAGTAACAATGATATAAGTAAACTGCCATATAAAGGTCATTCCACACCCATAGAGCAGTTTT